GAGCGTTGTATGAGTACACCACAATCGGTACCAAGTAAGTATTAAGACTAACCACGGTGGAGTAGTGACGAGGTTCAATTCAAGATATTCATTAATCAAATAACATAACATGTGCAATAATATCAAAGAATAACTGGCAAGGAGGAATTATAACAGAACGCAATAGCTGTAATAAAAAGGAATGATAACAGAAAGCAATAACTGGAATAAAAGGAATAATAACAGAAAACAAAACAAAACTTAAATAAAAGGAATAATAACAGAAAGCAATAGCTGTAATCCCTCCACTTAAACCATAACCATTTAGAACAAATAAAGGCCCGATTTTGATAAATAAATCATCAAATAGGATCACACACTCATCACACCTCGTGCCCACATTATCTATCTTCCTCGAACGGCAAAGTCCTTGTGCCACAAGTCATACCCTGCACGGCAAAGACCTCGTGCCACAATATAAGTCACACTCGCACGGAAACAACCTCGTGCCACAATATAGGTCATACCCGCACGGAAAAGACCTCGTGTCTCAATGTATATCAAAATCGTACGACAAAGATCTCGTGCCACAATATATACTACTACCGCATGACAGAGACCTCATGCCACCATGTATATCACAACTCGTGCCATTTATCAATAACACATTCAAGAGAAATTTATCAAGAATCAAATAATGTATTTCATGATAACAACTTCCTTTTTATTTCATTCCGTTATGTTACCAACAACTCCACAAAATATGAGATAATAACTCCACGTAGGTAAATTTAGGCAACCAAATCATCAGGTAAATGTCAGAGACACATATAAGCACATGGGAAACAACATAGCAAAATATGTAAAAAATACATGACACACACAAGAAGTCATATCACTACACAAACCTCATCAATAAAATGCCACATGCGATCACATATCATCCCCACATAGGCCCGCCTTGTCTCGCCGCCTGCGCAACAAATAAAATAATTGCCCGCCTAGTTTCGCCATGCGCACATCACTTATTATTCCACCTTGTCTTGGAACATATACAAATTTGATATATATATATATATATATATATATATATATATATATATATATATATATATATATATATATATATATATATATTTGCATGGCAGAAACCTCGTGCAAACAGCCCGATAATCTGCTCAATAAGTTCACATGTGTCATAATCACAATAACACAACATGCCAACAATTATCATGAAAACATAAACTCACAATCTGCCAACACAGCATATAACCAATAAAGGAAATGCGGATAAGTATTTAACATATAGCATGAATTCAACGAACCCAAATAACAACAATTTCACAAATGCCCAACTTAGGTAATTAAGGAAATAAAATCATAAAACATGATCTCTAACAAGGAATATGAACTCAAGTAATCATCCACAATAGGAAACACATAGTGTAGAGATCTCACACTCAAAACAAGGCAATAAGAACAGCTTCGGGTCATATCCGATCAAAGTCAATATATATATGCCCGTTTACACACTCGTCACCTTATGTACACGTCGTTCAGATAGTACAAATACTACAATTAGACCAAATCCTACGGGTAATTTTCCCACACAAAGTTAGGCAAGATACTTACCTCAAAAGCCCTCTATCAATACTCTAAAAGTGCATTTCCTAAAAAATTTACCTCTGCTCGACTCAAATCTTACCAAAAACAACTTAATAACATCAAACAATACAAGAAAAACCAATTGCAATTAATAAAGTTAAGATCTTTACTCAATTCTCAAAAAGTCAATAAAAGTCTATTCCGGGCCCGTCCGGTCAAAACCCGAGTTGACTATCCATAGCCCCAAGAGTCTAAATATGTATTTGATTTTCAAATTCGAGTCCAATTCGACTTTCAAATCTCAAATTTTTACTTTTCTAAACATAGTAAAAAATCCCCAAAATTTCTCTTTAAATATCATAAATAATCCTGTTATATAATCAAAATTGACATAAAATCACTTACCCAATGATTGTGTATGAAAATCTCTCCTCAAAATCACCTCCCACCGGATCTAGGACTCAAAATGTGATAAATGAGGCTAAGTCCCTAATTCCAAATTGTATGTCTGGCTGCAGAAATCGCATTTGCGACCTTAAGTTTGCAAATGCAACTACCGCAAATGCGAACTATTGTTCCCAAAAGCAAATAATGTCAAGCCCACCCGAGAAGTCGTAAAAGCGACATACGCCTCGCAAATGCAAAGCTAGGCCCTATTGCAAATGCGACACAATTGCTCGCAAATGCGAACTGGCCATCCCCCAGCCAATGTCGCAAATGTGACTGAGGATTCGCAAATGCGACATCGCAAATGCGGAGCCCTTATTGCAAATGCGGACATGACCAGCATACACACACCTCGCGAATGCGATGTCCGAAAATGCGAACAGTATCTCGCATTTGCGAGACCTGAGGCACCAGCAAACAACCAACAAAATTGAAGCAGCTCGAAAACACCCCGAAACACGTCCAAAAATCACCCGAACCCCCAAGGCTCCACACTAAACATTCACACAAGTACATAAACATCATACAAACTCGCTCGTGTGATAAAAACGCCAAGATAACATCTAGAATCACGAATCGGATACCAAAACACATGAAAATTACAATGAAACTCAAGAATGGCTAGAAACACAACCATGCGTCCGATTCCTATCAAACCAACTCGGAATGACACCAAAATTTGCAGACAAGTTACAATTAATAAAAAAGATCTATTCCAAGTCCCAAAATAAAAATCCGAACCCGATAGCCATAAAGCCAACCCATGGTCAAACTTAGAAAAATTCTAAACCTTTAAATTACCAACTTTCGCCAAAAAGTGCCAAATCAACCTAGGAGCTTCCGGATCCAATTTCGGACATACACCTAAGCCCATAATCACCATTCGAACCTAACGGAATCATCAAAATTCAAGATTAAATACGTATAAAGTCAAACTTGGTCAACTCTTCCAACCTAAAGCTTCTAAAATGGGAATCATTCTTCCAAATCAATCCCGAATTGCTCGAATCCGAAACCGACCATACCTACAAGTCATAATACATTATACAGAGCTACTCAAGACCTTCAACTACCAAACGGAATGCTAAATCTCAAAATGACGGGTCGGATCGTTACATATACATTCCATCTTGATTAGTCATTTATTTTATAAGTGTTTGATTATACTCAATATTATTTCAACTATTTTCCTAGGGCCATAAGTATCTAATATCAAAGTACAGTAAATACCTTGTCAATTACTATGATGAACTCTGGGCAACGGAGATTTTTACAATACATTTTTGAATAGAATATCCTATTGAATACCACACACACACACACACACACACACACACACATATATATATATATATATATATATATATATATATATATATATATATATATTGATCTAATCAGATTACTAATGTTCTAATTAATGATCATGTGATCAAGAACAACTTTAGTTTAAATTATAAGAGATTCGAATTTCATTATCATGATCTCCATCATGATGACAATTAGTCTCAAAACTTAATCAATAACTTTATCATATTAATCAACCAATTAATATAACTAATTAATTTAGGGAAAAGGACTAAACATAATGTCTTCTTCATATTACCTTGCCTAGGCAGGTTAAATCCACATTGAAAAACGATGCAAATCGAATCCATGCTTTTAGAATCCGAGTGAAGAAAGGTACTTTTATCTTTAAATCCTATAATTTGAAGTCGCTAAGTAGCTGATACTAATTAGTCAATTCTTTTCGGAAGCATAATTTGTAAAGGAGGAATCTTCCTCATCCTGGCTTTTTATTTTCATATTTTATTTTTGAGATAAGTCAAATTTCATAGAATGAACTTAGATCTTTGTTGGTTTGGATAGAAGAGGTAAGGCCATTATCCACCTCTATATTTGTTCCCAACTATGTTCCTTTTGACTTAAAAATAGATACACCCCCATCTGAGGCAAACGAATAACTATGAAAAAAGAGAACTACCGATGCCATACAATTATTCAAATAATATTTACAAAATATATGTAACTTTTTTTTGTTTGGCAATGTAAATATATGTAATTCATTATATGTGAAATTAGATTTAGGACACATCAACTATATCCCTAACAGAATACATATAAACATGCCTAAAATCCACTAGAGAGGTATGAACCAAGAATATATATCGATCTATGATTCCGTGAATGGCTGTACATTCCCCAGTACTAAAGGATTACTAAAAGGAGTCGCTTATATTAGGTTGTTAAGTTTTTCACTTTGAACTTAGTTCCCCTTTTATGCAATTTTTTATTAATCATACAATTCAACCTCAGCCCACCTTGATCAACAGGATAGGTTATGGAATTTTGTACAAATTTTGTATGTCTATAAATATGGTAAAAAGGAGAATTTTGGAGGTTCTCCCTTAAATGATATATGCGTTTGGACAACATAATATATACTTATAGTACTCCACTTAATACTTTCCTTTAGATTTTATATCCCCTTCGTATCAGTTTATGTGGTATCGTTCATATTTTAAGAGTCAAGTAAAATTATTTTATTGGAACTATTCCATAACTTAATACATATTTGGAATCGTTAATAATTGTAATTTATACTACTTCTTACATAGTTTCATTATATGTATTATATATTTTATTTCAAAAAACTTAAAATTTTTATGTGTCAATTTACGATCAAAGTTTAGCTCTCGAAATATAAATTATACCACGTAATACTTAATTTCCTTAACTTAATTACGCCCTTATTTCCTTAACTTCATTACGCGCTCTCAAAGGAAGCTTTCTTGTGGCTTTGGTTTTCATGAAGGTCCCAACAAATAACAATAACGAACTTGACAAGCATAAGCTGCTAGAATAATGTAACAAATTCCAAGTGGCAAAGGGCACTTGTCACCCTCCCCCTGTCTTTGTATAAATACATACCTTTTCCCTCTTTATAGTACTAATATATTATCAAACAAAAGAAATTGGTGAAATGCTTCTTTTATATTAGGACAAACCTTAACAAAAATATTCCTTTAGTTCCATAAAAAAAAGTTTATTTTATTACAAAACAACTCCCAAATGATGGGTTTAAGAGACATTGGAGCAACACTACCTCCTGGTTTTAGATTCTATCCAAGTGATGAAGAATTAGTTTGCCATTATCTCTTCAAGAAAATTGCAAATGAAGATTCTCTTAAAGGTACTTTAGTGGAAATTGATCTCCATACTTGTGAGCCATGGCAGCTTCCTGGTAGGTTTCTTCTTCTCTTTCTATGAATTACTTTGTGATTTTCTCACGTTATCAAGAAAATTCCATTCTACCTTTTTCTGTTCATATAAAATTTTGATGAGAAGTTGAGCTTAAAGGATGAAGTAAGAATTCATATAGCCAACCCTAATAACTTGTCTGGAACTGAGGCGTAATTGTCATTGTTATATATAAATTTTTAGCAACGGAAATGAATTTTAGAAGAAACTAAATCATCACTACACAAAAATAGTGAACTTTCATGATTTTTTTTTTTTTTCAACTACTTTCATGATTAGATGAAAAAGTTTCAAAAAGTGGCTTTAACCGACTTTGTCTTGAATTCTTTATGGTAAAAAAGAAAGAAAGAGACTTTTTTTCATAGGCAGATAATGCTAAACTATAACAAGATTATGATTCGGAATCTGCAACTTTTTTCTATCTAAATATAAAATTCTGTATATCTTTTAATTTTTAGGACTTTAATTTTATTTGACGTTACGTTGTCTCCTGAAACTGAGTACTGAGATGTGAAGGAGATAAGTTAAGGGGGCAGAAAATTGAAATTAAAGAAAATGATGCTTGCTTTCTGGAGTGAACATCAATTATCAGGTTTTAATGGATTTGGTTCACATGTAGAATATGCGGAAATATAGCTTTAAACTTGGCGATTTCTCCGCAAGAATAAAGTGGTTATAATAAAAAGATGTTAATTTATTAAATAGTCAAACACTTTCACATAAATTGAAACAGAGTAATTTTTGTAAGCCTCCTTTATAAATTCTAACTTTTTTATTATTTTCTTATAATATCTTCATATCGTTTTAATCTCACAAAGAAATTCACCTTCTAGATATTTTTTTATACATAAAGAACAATGTTACCTTCATTTAATAAATACAATAATTTAGTACTACACTTGGGAGTTCTGCAGAAATTGATGTGTTCCTGCATAAGGAACGCTTCATGATTAATCAATTTCACTTAATCCAAATTTAATGAAGCTTATGAAATAAAATTCTAACGTAGGATAATAAATTTCTTTCTGGAGAAGTTTCAGGCAAGGAAATATAGGAGTATAATTTTACCTTCTTGTTGAAAGAGTTAGTGGCAGTCGGCATGCATGAAGTTTATATCATCGCATACAACTCCCTTTGTTTCATTTTATCCACATATTTTAAAGTTTCCCTTTCAATATTTTTCAAAAATAATATTATATTTTTATATTTAGTAAATTTTCAATTTCAACACTTATATTTTACCTTTAATGACAATCCTTTATAGGAACAACATGACTTAGCTTCTTTAAGACTATAAGATTAACAAAAAAATTGATATGTTATACGCATATTTATTTTAAGATTATAAGATTAAAAAAAATTATATTCTTAAACTTCGTGCACAATTAAAATAAACACATATGAAAATAGAGTATTATATTGTTTTAGTCATGTGTTTAAGAAAGCGAGAGACAAAACAATATAAAATCGAAAGATAAAGACGTGAATGATCAATAGGGCAAAAGAGGGTGAAAACGTGAATAGCCCTCAAAGTGAATGATCTTGAATTTTTGTCCTAAAATGGGCACAAATTTAAATTTAAAGCAAGTAAGGGTCAAAAGTTAGAGACCGCCTCAAAATTGTTATATATTTGTGCAATTTTTTGGGCAAGAGAGGTAGTCTTACTTCCCCATATTATTTCGTCATAATCTCATTAATTTTCTCGTATACGTGTAGTTAATTGATCTTAGACACATGAAACGGCGGCCTTTTATTCTTCACGTATAAGTAGAATGAAATGTGTTTCAAATCTAATTTTGATGACTATGGAATATTTTGTTAAAGGAAAAAAAGTATAAATTAGAAAGCCTAAATTCTCACTAATACTCCTAATTTTATTGGCTAAGATTGTTATTAGGTGGGACATGACGAAAGTGATATTGGATTGCCCACCATCTAAATAATTCGTACTATTGTGAAGAAAAGGTTAAAACCCTTTTTCCATTCATTCATATGAACTTTCTCAAAAGGATTAGCTAAAGAGGAAACATGCTTAGAGAATCTATTGTGACTAATACCCAACTAGCTGCGTCACTTTAGATAATAGCATTGTCTTACAAGCCAGTGGCGATAGTCTCTTCCAATAATTCACATATGTATATGTATATATAACTTTTAATTATCACTGTAGTCTTTAAGTCAGCTTTTACATATATACATACAATTATATTATTCTTGATTATGTTTTTACTTGTCTTGAATTATATATATACATACACACACTCGTTGAGGGTGGAGCTAGAAGGTTATGTACAGATTCAGTCGTATCAAGTAGTTTTAGTTTAAACCTAAATATCTATTAAAAATCCACTAAATAGGTATAGGAATTAAGTTCATAATCTAGTTACTAACACCTGATATCGTTATCTTAAAATTTTAAAACATATAAAGTTTAAATCGTGGTTCGACTACTAATACTCATGTTGATTGATTTTTGTTGAACTAGAGGTGGCAAAGCTCAACTCGAGTGAATGGTACTTCTTCAGCTTTCGAGATCGCAAATACGCAACTGGTTTTCGGACAAACCGGGCCACAACTTCGGGTTATTGGAAAGCCACGGGTAAGGATCGGACGGTGCTAGATCCTCGAGCCCGTACGCCTGTAGGGATGAGAAAAACTTTAGTCTTCTACAAGAATAGAGCTCCTAATGGAATTAAAACTGGTTGGATCATGCATGAATTCCGCCTCGAAAATCCACACATACCCCCTAAGGTAATTTTCTCCTTTTCTTCCTAAGCAATATATATATATATATATATATATATATATATATATATATATATATATTATCTTGAATTTAAGTTTTATCTACGGATAGTATAAAATATATACACGCTTAAGTTACCCTACCTATTTTAGTGTAGACACTTATTTCTCTACATTTTTTTCATTTACATACGATGTAATCAATCTAGGGTGGTTATTTTTCTTTTCGTTTGCTTTCAATGAAGGATCAAAATGTTGGTGAAAAATCATAACTCAAAATTATTTGGTTAAGATTTGAAAAGATTTTGCCACGCGTAATATAATGATGAGACAACAATTTAAAGGGTTTTAATTTCATCATTAGCATATAGGGAAATCAAGATAATTGAAACAATTTTCACGTGACAAAAGTCTATGCAAGAAACTTCATAGAAACCTCCTAGCTCGCTGAAATGGGGGAAACGATAAGTGATGGGCAAAAGAATGGCAACTGGCTAGATTTTTTGCTACATATTCAGTAAATTTCAAAACCGTTTTCTTACATAGTAATAAAACACCTAACGACATTACTAAATATATGTCGTGTATGATGATTTAACAGGAAGATTGGGTGTTATGTCGAGTATTTCACAAAGCTAAAGCTGAGAACAGCAGTAACAACAACATTGTCAGCCCACAAAACACGTACGAGGTTGGTGTTGTTAGCTCTCCTAATAATAATATGGACCAGTTCCATGCCTTGCCTTACGACGGCTACCGCCCTAATATGGCGGCCGCCGCCGTCTCCCAACGGCCTTTTCATCAAAGGCAGAAGTTGTTTGATTTAATGGAAGCAGAAAATAACCAAAGCAGCTATCCTCAGTTATCTCAAGAAATGAACAAAGCTCCATCGAATGATCAAATAGCCGAGGATGAGTATGGGTTCTTGTTGGACATGAATTTTGAAGATCCATGTTTACAAGATGGAGGAGTGAATTCGAGCATTGAGGACATGCGATTTGATAACAATAACAGCTTGGTATTCATTTAAAATTATCAATGATGATTGGTAATTGATTATTATTAATTAGTAGAAAACTACAAAAAGACTATGCATGTGTTGATAATTTGCGTAGTCGCGTTACTGTTTGCTTGTGGGGTAAGAATTAATGTATGTTTGATGGGATATATGATTCTTTTTTATTTTCTATTTTCCCTCACCAGATAGATAGATTGATCAGATCTTGATGATTATGTGTGTATCTATATATTACTTTGACGTTTGTGTGTAGATAATTCTATAAATTATAGTAAATTTCTCACTCAAATTATTACATTTACTTCCCTCTTCAATTCTGAATTTTATCCTCATAAGTATGTGAATTTCATGAATTAAGTTTAAGGGCCTCTTTAATATGGTCATTGGTCACAAATTTAATTGAGCCATCCCTACAGAGGAATCGCATAATTCGAATGCTGATGCAGAAAAGTCTGAGAACATCTTTCAGCACGAAAGAGAATCTTTCTACGATTGGCTCAAGTGTTGGATCAGGCAAATCGTATCACCAATCAATTACAACAACAACAACAACATACCCAATATGAGTGGGGTCTGACGAGGGTGAGGTATACGAACACCTTACCCCTACTGTCACGACCCAACTCCCATTGAAGTTGCGACGATGCCTAACACTACTTACCAGGCAAACCAACAATCACATAACAACTAAACATTTGAGTAAACATGGTTTAATATACTTAACAACGGAAATATGATAATTCTCTCATAAAAACAATAATAAACTACTACAACAACTCCCAAAATCTGGTGTCAACGAGCAACGAGCACATGCGCACTACTGAGTATCAAATATAAATTAAATCCGTAGTACAACTGTCTGAACGATGGAACAACAATTAGAAAAGTTAAGAGAGTCAAGGTCCGCGGATGTCATAGCAGCTACCTCGAAGTCCCCAAATAATAGCGCCAACACTGATCTAGCAATCACCGCACCCAATTGTACCTGGATCTGTACACGAAGTGTAGAGTGTAGTATGAGTACAACCGACCCTATGTATTCAATAAGTAACAAAACTAATATTGAGCTGAAAGCAGTGACGAGCTTAGAAGAAGATAGTCAAAATCAATATAAATGACAACACGGGTATAATGATGGCAATAGCAATAAGCAACTCAAAGTGAATATCACAAATTGCTCGTTCATATTGCAGGAATTTAGACATGCTTTCAAATATAATAATTAAAGCCCAACACTGATAAGAACATGTCAGTTATAACTAGCATGAGGGATGATATATCTCTATGCCTACATGTGAAGTCTGCATGTCAAATAAATGATCTCAAGGTGATATCCCCAGGTACTCTCACTATGATGACCCGAAAGGTCATCTAATGTTTTAGAACTCAATTCTACGCTTCCAAGCCCTAAAAATCTCATTTTTATCCTCCTCAATTTGCGTGAGCAGTCCGGGCATATTTTCGAAAAGCTTTTATGTTAAAAGTTGATAAAAATAAGAAATTTTGCCTAAAAACTTTATTTGAGTTGACTTTGGTCAATATTTTCGATAAACAGACCCGGATTCGTATTTTGACAGTCTTGGTGGGTCCGTATCGTGATTTGGAACTTGGGCGTATGCCCGGAATCGAAATCAGAAGTCCCTAGCCCGAGATATCTGACTTTGTTGAAATTTAGAAGTTAAAGGCTTAAATAAAATGGAAGTGTTTGACCAAGGTTTGAATTTTTAGATACCGGGTCCGTATTTTTGTTCCCGAACCCGTTATAGGTCAAATACCCTATTTATGACTTGTCTGTGAAATTTGGTGAGAAACGGAGTTGGTTTGACGTGATTCGGAGGTCCGGTTGAGAAAATAGAAATTTTAAAGTGTTCTTGAGAATTTCATTTGATTTCGTGCTAAATTCATAGTTCTAGGTGTTATTTTGGCGATTTGATCACGCGAGCAAGTTCGTATGATATTTTTAGACTTATGTAAATGTTTTGTTTGGAGCCCCGAGGGCTCGGGTTAGTTTCGGATAGGCTACAAAGAAATTTAAACTTGGAAAAATTTGCTAGTGTAACTGATCTTGTTGCCGGCTTCTGATCTCACATTTGCCAGATCAGGCATCGCAATTGCGACCTCTAAGGGGTTTGCATTTGCGAGCTTCTCATAGCAAATGTGAAGAGAAGCTGGGCCATACAAGTTCGCATTTACGAAGTATTCGTCGCATTTGCGATATTGGTCTGGGAGGGGCAGTCTTCGCATTTGCGATCGTGAGGTCGCATTTGTGACCAGCTTAGTTCGCATTTGCGAACTTTTTTCACATTTGCGAAGATAGAAGAAATGTGAGAATCTTCGCAAATGCGATGGATTTCTCGCATTTGCGAAGTCCAGGTCGCATTTGCGACTTCTGCAGCTGGTAAAACTTGATTTAGAGGGGATTTTTGCTCACTTTTCAAAACTTTCAAAACAAGAAACCCTTTAGGCGATTTACCAAAGACCACTTCTTCTACAAAATATTGGTAAGTGATTCTAAACTAGTTTCTTTCAATCTTTCACTTCATTTTACAAATTTTCAACCTAAAATCTAAGGTTTTCATGGTGGAATTGGGGTTTTTTAGGTAGAAACTAGGGATTTTAAAATTTGGGGATTTAGACCTCAAATTAAGGTCAGATTCCAAAACCAATTATATATCCGGGCTCGGGGTGAATGGGCAATCGGGTTTTGGTCCGAATTTCGAGTTTGGACCAAGCGAGCCCGGGTGTTGACTTTTCAAAAATGGCCTAAATTATATTCTTTGCAATAGTGGGTAGTTCCTAAGGCTTAAATTGAATCACTTGGTTGATAATTTGCTAGATTATATTGGTCCGGAGGCTCGTTTGAAGGGAAAAGTTGTGGTTGAGCTTTGAGTTTGGCCGTTGGAGCGAGGTAAGTGTCGTGGTTAACCTTGTCTTGAGGGATTATGTATTATTTGCTTATTTGCTATGTGTTTGAATGTTAGATACAACTTATAGGTGAGGTGACGAGAACCTATGCGATGTTGTCAAGTTATAGCATGCGAGTGAGTCTTATTCATGAAATGGTAGCTTTTCATGATCATATTACCCATGCGTAGACTATTTTATCGTTATATTGATCTTTCTTATCACATTTACGAATTTTGGTATTGATTGAGTATTGATCCAAAGTTGAGGTTGGTATTGTGGAACCAATTGTTGAAGTAAGAATTGTTCTTGATATTTCTATCTCCCTGTTGTTATTGTTCTTTATTTTGGTGAGCGAGAGTGTTAATGCACGAAGGGTGATGTCGTGCCATATTTTATGAGTGTAAAAGCACGAAGGGTGATGCCGTGCCGTTTCTATTGATTATCTGGTGAGGTTGAGAGTAAAAGCACGAAGGGTGATGCCGTGCATTTTCCTTTACTGTGTTTACTTGTTATTATTGGTTCAAGGTATATTAGCTGATCAAGTTTCTTTACTGCTCTGATTCTTTATCTCGTAATCCCCTCAACATGTCCCCCTTCCGATATTATCTGTCTATCTCTTACTTGCCGTTATTATGTACATATACTGTTAAATTGCACAGGGTTATTATGTATGTGTCTTGTCCTAGCCTCTTCACTACTTTGCCGAGGTTAGGCTCGGCACTTACCAGTACATGGGGTCGGTTATACTGATACTACACTGCACTTCTGTGCAGATTTCAGTATCGGCCCTAGCTGATCGTGAGGTTAGCAGCTGGACTTGATCGTCGGGAGACCAAGGTAGATCTGTTGGCGTCCGCAGACCCTGGAGTCTATTCCTAATCTTGTTATTTTACTTTTTCTTTTCCTTCAAAACGGTGTATTATCTTTTAGACTCTGTTTTTAGTAAATCGTAGTAGCTCGTGAGTTGTGACTCCAAATCCTAAATGTGTCAGATATTTTGGGTTTTATAATGTTCTGCAAACTCTGTTTACCTTCTGTTTAAATTAATAAATTCTGTTATTGAAAATTGGCTGAAGTTGACTTTATGAATTCTCTAACGTTGGCTTGCCTAGCAAGTGAAATGTTAGGCGCCACCCGAAGGTGAGAATTACGGGTCGTGACACTCACTCTCAACATACTCAAGCTGTCCGTCTCAAATGCCCGTCTCATCAAACACACACAATCACTCAACAATTTACGGGTGCCTAGCATCAATGCCCCTTACCAAAACATGTGTGTGTGTGTGTGTATATATATATAATTTTTTTTTTACATATCACTGTGCCTGCGCTCACTGCTGGTAAGTCAGACTCCAGAGGGGCAGATCATACCCAAGCTCTAATATAAAGCCGATAAGGCATGCTGCATCGTTCAACTCAATCTACAATAAAAACAACAACAGCAATAACATCAACTACAACAGCATCATCAACAACAACAACAACAACAACAATAATAATAATAATAATATTTTATTAATAATAATAATAATAATAATAATAATAATAATAATAATAATAATAATAATAATAATAGTAATAGTAATAATAATAATAATAATAATAATAATAATAATAATAATAATAATAATAATAATAATAATAATATGACATGTTGCGGCGTGCAACCCGATTTACAATAACACTATCAATACGACTCTAATGACATGCTGCGGTGTGCAACCTGTTCTACAATAACACTCTCAACACGGCTCTAAGGCCATCTCAGTCATAAATCTCTCAAGTCTCACGGGCTCACAATCTCATATCACGCAGTCCAACAACTTTACATATGAAAAAACAATGATAACATGTGATGTAACAATGAATGATAAACAGAGACTGAGATATAATATGCAAACGAAGAAGCATGACTGAATATATAATCACAGTTAAAGCAGTTAGCTCAAATTAATAGAATTAGCCTCATTAGGTCTCAACCGAATAAGCTTATAATCTAAACAAGATTTCTAACATGAATCACAGCTAAATTACTCTAACAAATACGAATTACATGGATAAAACAAGACTTGATAGCAACACATTGCAAAAGTCAACCCGGATCTTAATTACCACAGTGCACGCCCGCACGCCCGTCACCTAGCATGTGCGTCACCCCAACACAACACAAATAATATGTTTTCCAGATATAATTACCCTCAATTCCAAGTTTAGAAATATTACTTACCTCAAAACTCGTTATCAATACTCCAACTAGCCCTAGTCTCGCGAATCGGCCTCCAAACGACTCGAATTTAGTCACAAACAACCTTATGCCATCAATAATAGCTGTAGGAAATAATCTTA